CCCCCTCCCTCCCCTTCTCCTTCGTGGAGGTCCCCGGGGAGCTCCCTTCCCGGCCTCCAGCGTACGGCGAGCAGGCGAGCCGTGTGGCGCGACCGGAGTTATGAGAATGCCAAGCGACTGGGAAGAGGGATACGCCGGGCACGCTCACCCCACAGTGTGTATGTATGTGTGTGTGTGTGTTGCTCTTCCCGCACGCACGCACACAACACAGGCAACGCCCTCTCTCGGTATTCAAAACACATTCCAAGTTCACATCTGCGGGGCGGCGGCGGCGGTCGGTGCGGTGACACACAGGATGGAGGAGAGAGAGAGCCCGGCCGGGGGGCCTGGTCGGGGAGGGATGGACTAGACGGGGAGCGACGGAAATAAACCAACCCCCTCCCTCCAGCCACTGCTGGCTTGTCACCCGTTTGAGAGTAATATTATTCTTTCCTGCTTATATTTTTTGTTTTGGTAAAGGTTTTTTTTCCTAAATCTTTTATCACCGCCTTGTTTTTGTTTTCTTTACTTTGGTGTGCGTACGGCGGCGGCAGAGTCATCAAGAGCTGTCAGGCCGCATACAGCCCGCACGAATTAATTACTCCGAACTGCGGGCGGGCCGGCCAGGCCGCGTCCAGCGAAAAGCAGCGCGATACCGCACTTCATAAGGGGGAGGGGGGTCGGCACGAGCCCGATACGTTTCTATATGCCACTCGCCGACCGCTACGCCACACCACGCCCCGCCACGCCCCGCCACGCCCCGCCACGCCCCGCCCCGCCTGCTCCACGCCCCACCACCACCACCTCGTCCTGGTAGGCCCGACCCGACGCTCGGCTCGACCGACATGGCGCCGGACGACGAGTCGGCGCGCGGCTCTGCGGGGCTCAATGCACAGGACAAACTTTTAATTGCCACCGCGTCAACCCCGGGCCGGGCGGTTCCAAAACACTCTATCTCTCCCCCCCCCCCCTCCCTCTCTCCCTACCGCTGTCAGTGGCGCTCTGACCGGAGCAGCTTGATAAGCAAACACAATCCACCTGCTTCACCCCGCCCCCCGCCCCACTCCCTCCCGCGGAAGGCGCGGCGCGTCTTCGTGGAGGAAAACATCGATTACGTATCCCAATATTTTGCCCCGTCACGCAGCTGACCCCCCCGGATTGATTTTTCCCGCAGAGGAGGCTCTCTCCATAAAAAAAAGGAGCAGAGAGATATAAACCGTGGGCATGGGGTCAATTACCCACGCAGACACACTTTCATATTGCTTCGAGTCGTTGTTATTTACACCGCGTAGTTCGGCCGACAATTCTCCACGGAGGTAATCTCACGCCCGAGATGGAATCGCCCTCCATAATGTCGCTGTATCGAGTTACCGCGCGCCGGGCTGAGCCATCACACTTTCATCCCGATCAACAGTTTGCTTTCTAAAGCTCAATCTACGTTACAACGTTTTATTATGTCTGCCGGATTAACAATGTTGTATCGTTTTGGACACGACCCATAAGCCGACGTGGCGATGGAGAGCGGCCGGTAGTAGTGGAGTAAGTAGAGGATTTGCGGCCACCGTATTACGCCCGCTCCACCCCCAGCCAAGCCGAGCAACCCGCCGGCCTCGACCACCTTGACCAGGGTGCGGGAGCGCCCAGCGCTCGGGCCAGCGCTCGGCCTGGCGGCAGCGATATGGCCTACCGTGCGCTCCCACATCTTCCAGGGGAGTTTGCGGGTTTCAGAACGATGCGATTTTATTCGTGTTTTCTAGGAACTTGAATCGGGAAGTAGGGAGCAGCAAGAAACGAAAACAGAAACTATGGAGGATCGTCAGGAAAGTTCACCCTTTTCTCTCACATTCATGAGGCAAATTACGGGAGCAGCTCGGCGCGCCTGTAAGGCTCGGGGTTGGGCCGGCCCGCCGTACACGCATGTCAGGCGGGCAAGGTGTTGCCTACCTACCCGGCGCCGTGAGAGCCAGCACAGGCCGTTGTTCGTAACGGGGTGTGAGGGCATTCCTCTCCTCCTCCTCCTCCTCCTCCTCCTCC